AAATCGTCGTTCGTCGTCTGGTTGCCACGTCGCTGATAGCGACGTGGCAACGTGTTGCCGCACTCGTTTACTGGGGTTGTTGATGTGGCGTCAAGGCGTCGTCTCCCATATCGTGGCCGTCGTCGTTGTCTCATCGTGGCTGGTGTGCGTGGTGGTGGACGTTGGCGACGTGGTGTGTAGGCGTCGGTGATGGTGGTGGTGGTTGAAAGAGATGGCGTTGTTTGTTGATGATGTCCAAATCAAACGTCGGCAAACGCCGACGTTTGATTTGGGCATCAGGAATTCCGTTCCGGTCTCGTTCCGTGAGCATTCCTTCCGGGTGATCAGCGGAATCATTCCGGCGGAATTTGAATTCCATTCAAAATTCCGCGGAATTGTTTGATCAATTTGGCAGGGCCCTCTGCCAAATTTGATTCCTCCGGAATTCCAGGAATTCCCCGGATTCCGCCGTATTCCGGCAGGAATCAGTGGAGGACAATAAAGACCTCTCAACATCTTCAATCACTACACTTTATATGTCTATGAGCAATGAAGCTGTTATTACTCCTAATTCTGGTTCTGCTGCTGAGACAAATTCCACACGACAATCCAATGCTCAAGTTGGAGAACAAGACTGAGCTTGCTATCGGTTAGCTCTCGTTTGTGCATTTAACTTTCAACCTATGGCTGCATCAGATCTTTTCAACATCTTCAATCACTACACTTTATATGTCTATGAGCAATGAAGCTGTTATTACTCCTAATTCTGGTTCTGCTGCTGAGACAAATTCCACACGACAATCCAACGCTCAAGTTGGAGAACAAGACTCAAATCCATCAACAGTCAATCCAAATCAAGGTCAAGAACCCATTGTTGACAACGAGAGGTCCAGCGCTACAGGAGATGAAGAGTTTGTTGCCGGTACATCTGGGAATTTCCCGATTGCCAATGCTGCTCTCACCTCTTGCAATGCTATCCTCAAGGGCTATCATTCATCTCGGATCTCCAAAGGGATTGCGCTGTGCAGGATTTACACGACTTTATTGGAAGCAGTCCCTGATGATGAGTCGACTTCAGCAACAGTTGAAGAGGCATTCAGCCGTTTTCTCACCATTATTGAGAATCATCAAGGACACCTCGCAGAAGCTGAATGCCGTGGACGTTGTCGACATTCAGAAAGTCCCCAACCTATTCCAGAAGGAAATCCCGACAATGAAGACCTCGGAGACATCCCATCTCCTAAACGAGCAAAACCCGATGACTCAAAATTCCCCTGGACAATTTCGGACTTCATTCATGGCGCTACACTCTCTCCGTCACTCTCTAAATCCCTTGAGTTACTCAAACTCTATGCTATTGATCCAAAAGGAACTAATCGATCCCTCATCAATTCTCCCAGCTGTCCTGAGTTTCCAGGTTCAGAATGGACCAATGTTCTCGCAGGATGTGCTATCAACCTTGACACTGTCCTCACTGGATATTACTCAACATCCAATAATGACGAACAAGTCGAGGAAATCGGGGACTTCAAAATTCGCTTCGGAACATTCAATCCAACAAAAATTGTATCTACTGTGGGAGAGTGGAGCATCACTTGGAATCGGTCGTCACAAGCTATATGCGCCGCTTTCCCACACAGAGCTGGCGAGCTTGCACAATATGCTGAGTACATCATTGGGCTATTTGCCGCAACTGATGTACACTTTCATGATCGCGTTATCCTTTTTGACAAGGCTGTTCGGCGACGTGTCGGTGCTCGTCGAGACTTGGAGCTCACTGACTTCAACAAGTTCTTTGACCTTAGATCGACCCACATGGATTCAATTGGTACTGCTGTCGTCCAATGTGCATCCACTGCTACCCCAAACAAACCCTCAGCGACTTCGCGCAAAAGGCTATCTGAACCTTGCAACCACTGGAATGAAGGGTTGTGCACACTTGAGAGTACTCAGTGTCGCCGGCTTCATGTTTGCAGCAAGTGCCTTTCATCTGGGCACAAGAATAATGACTGTCCAAAGTGAAGCTCTTTCATGCCCATTGTATGCTGATTGGCCTTTTTGCCACCTCACTATCGTTCAACCCCCTCGATTGACGCTGGGGGTAGCCAAAAAATGATTAGCATCTCACGTGGCTCTCGCCAACCTCAGAGAGAGCCATGGTCACTAGACTGCCTTACGCACGAACGGTCTAGTGCACTTGGATTATCAATTGACAATTCTTCTCATCTCACATACACGTCCACATTGAACTCATATCTCACCTTTTGCAAAATCCACGATTTTCCCATTGAACCAACTCAACAAACACTTAGTTTCTTTGTTGTTTACATGTCCACCCACATCAAACCCGACTCTGTCAACTCGTATCTCTCAGGAATTTGCAATCAGCTAGAAGTATATTTCCCTGACATCCGAAAAAATCGCAACAGCATCCTCGTATCACGCACTTTGGCTGGCTGTCGTCGACATTTTGGGACAACAATACAGCGCAAGCGACCCTTATCAACGGATGACCTTATCACTGTTCTGTCTCAACTGCAATCAACTCCCCACCACGACAAAAAATTGTTTCTTGCTATTCTATTCACAGGTTTCCATGGGCTTTTCCGCCTCGGTGAGCTCTCTTTTCCTGACAGAGTGGCCTCTCGTGACTATCGTAAAATCATGCTATGTCACACTGTTGACATTACTCAAACCACCTACTCATTTTTGCTGCCTGGCCATAAGGCCGACCGCTTCTTTGAAGGTAACATTGTCATTATTCAGAAGACAAATCTTCCCACAAACCCTCACAACATCTTCACAACTTACATCTCCTCTCGCGATACACTCCACCCCTTCAAACCAGAACTTTGGTTATGTATGTCTGGCACTGTGCCGACATGTTCCTGGTTCATACACAAATTGCGCCGCTTCTTCCCATCAGATATCGCAGGCCAATCCATGCAAGCCGGCGGAGCCACTTCCCTCGCCGAAGCTGGTGTACCACCCCACATCATTCAAGCCACTGGGCATTGGGCATCAAACACCTTCCATATATACATACGGAAGAATCCCATTCTTCTACATGCAATGCTGTTTGGTCATCCTGCTCACCAACAAGCTACTGGACATTAACTTCCTTTCCCATTTTCTGGTATCTCACAACATCCTTCCGTTCTACTCCACTCAACTTTTCTTTTCCCCACAGACATTTTCTTTTCTTTCCCCACAGACATTTTCTTATTTCCACAAACAGACAATTCCCCTCCCTCCTCTTCCCCTTTTCTACATATTATAGGTATTATAGGACAACACTACCATCAATGGACATCTTTCTTGTGAGTTTCTCCAGGCGCACAGTGCCTGGGGGACTCTGCGTACACCTATTTATGCCTTTACTTAAGATTTCAAACCTTTGAACCCTCCCACGATTAGAGCAATTCGTGTTTGGATGTGTTTGTCGACGTGTCGAGTACAATAGTCACAGAATACAACTACTGGAGTGATAGTAGAGTTGAATACAACTCATGGGTACTAGGAAGGTGGTACAAAGATAAATGAAAGGTTTGTTGAGTGTAAATGAGAATGATAGGACAAGTATGGAGATGGTACCCTAACAGTGTCCCAGTCTCACGGCCCTTCCCCTTTGCATTCTCCTGAGGATTAGATGGTTTGGTGATGACTTTGGGCTCATCGTTGCCACGGGCATCCCATGCGGCAAGGAAATCTTTGTAGATTGGTTTAGCAGGGGGTTCAGCGATAACTGCCCAGTTAAAAGAGCCCTCTTGAGTTCAGAGGGCCTCTTCAAGAATTTGAACCATGGGGGTTCAAGGTCGGTGGGTTTGTCCTTCCCCGTCGTTTTCAGAGCACTAATGTAATATTGCTACCAGGGGTTAGTGTTGGTGCAATTCATAACTACCAAGCCACTCACCATCATTTGCTGCATCATTACCTCCTTCTTGAGCCTATCAGAAGAGTTCGCCTGGCGGTATTCCCCTTTAAACCAGTTGATGATCTTGTCGGTGACTCCTGGGATTGAGGCAATGATGCCTTCCACTTGGTACACTGTCATTGGGGCTTTGCCGTATCCTTGGGGAAATTGGAATTGAGCGAGGCGAGAGGGCATGGTGGAGGTAGGGAAATATGAGAGGAACACGACTTGGATGTTGGTTGAAGATAAAGGAATCACTGTGGGAGTAACAAAAATCAACATTGCCTATTTCGGATTCATCACGTTGTTTGTTTCGGAACTTTCGGAACACCCGCATCTTGCATTGTCCATTCTACTTAGCCAGCCAATGTCTTTCCCCACAAGTTCAGGTAAGTTGCCGAAACTCCAAAGTTACATTTACTGATAGTTTTTCATTACAGACGACTTGCTCAAACAACTCGCAGATCAAGCCGATCTACGACATACCCCAGCCAAGGGTTTCAACAACAAAGGTACCGCCTTGTCTATTGACACTATTTGACATCTCATGCTTCTCTTCCAGTAGCCTTGTCATCATCAAATGCGGGGGGGGGAAATCTCACTCCTCGTGGGACTGGTGGCTACCACTTTTATGATAAAACCAAGGCAATTGCCTGCAGAGCTGTGTGTATAAGTCCACAAGTTTTATGAAAGGCCTTTCATAGATGTGTCCTGTGTTTTCTTTCTCATAAAGGCTATGTTCTTTTCATAAAATATAGGCAAGGCCACAGGGTGCTTTTCATAATTAAGCCTGTGTGCTTTCAATAAGTATTTCATTCACTGGGTTAGGTGTATTCATTGCCTTTTTCATAATTAATGCTGTGCGCTTTCATTGAATATTTCATTAGGAATATTGGATGCTTTCATTGTACTTTTCATAATTAATGTTGTGCAATTTCAATAAATATCTCATTCCTTAGGTCAGGTGTATTCATTGCCTTTTTCATAATTAATGCTTTGCGCTTTCATTGAATATTTCATTAGAAATATTGGATGCTTTCATTGTATTTTTCATAATTAATGTTGTGCAATTTCAATAAATATCTCATTCCCTAGGTCATATTATGGTCCATCCAATGGGTCATTGGGAGGGTGGTCACATGACCAATTTCCAAAAATGGTAAAAAAACAAAAGTTGTAGCTCTTTACCATAGCTTCCTGAATCAGTTGGAATTATGTCCTAAAGTGCTTCCATTGTGGAGATATGAGGTAAAAGGTTTTCAAAAGCGCCGCGTTTTTTTTTGTTTTTTGCATTTTTCTATGTGAAAAGAACACTAAACAACATGATTTCAACAGATTTAGAAAGCTAAGAGAAGGGGCTACAACTATTGTATCATGGGAAATTTCTCCCAAAAAGGAAGGTACATGCCCTAAAAGGGTAATTGACACTGACAGACTACAAAAGATTGCTGATATACTACAAAAGTAAGTTATAGCCTACAAAGTTTACTAATAGACTACAAAAGTTGGACATAGACCACAAAGGTCAGACAAAGACTACAAAAATTAGTAGTGTCTGCTTTTCTCATTACAAAAGTTAATAGTGTCCGCTTTTTGAGACTACAAAAGTTAGTAGTGTCTATTTTTTCGGACTACAATGGTTTGTAGTGTCCGCTTTTTGAGACTACAAAAGTTAGTAGTGTCTGCTTTTTCAGACTACAAAAGTTAGTAGTGTCGCTTTTTTCATTTCAATAGTTAATAGTGTCCACTTTTTGAGACTACAATGGTTT